TGTGAATGTACCACAACTTCTCAGTCCATTCGTTTGTTGATGGACATTTGGGCTGTTCTGTGGTGGTGTGTTTTTAAAGCTCTTGGCAAGCGTTGAATATATGACATGGTCGGCGAACGATGAGTTCACTAAAAACTTTTCTGTTTGGTCCTGCAGTATACCCAAGACATAGACAAACAATTTGGACAGATGAACTTCCAACTTGATGGTTTAGTTCTGCTGGACGACGTGGGAAAACAAAGTCTTAAGGATTTCAGTGCTTTGGGATTAGACCAGTTAGATTATTCCGCTTTCCTGGCAGAGGTATGGCTGTGTGTCCATGAGGGAGCTTCTAGCTGAATGAGGCCATCGTGTGGGTGTGATTTTAGATGTTCGAATCTGAATGGGTTTCCCTTCTAACTTTTTCGTTACGGCTTCATGTCCCATCTATTGTGCATCATTGTTGCCGTGTACCATTGCGTTGGAATCAACACATAACTGACCAGTGGGGTTTTCAGAGGCTGTAAATCACATGGGAAGAGATTGCCAGTCCTTCTCCCATCGAGCAACTGATAAATTCAAAGCACGTGTCTTTTTTTTGGTGTTAGGTGTTGTTAAGATTATTTTTAAAATATCTGTGTCCATGATGTACTTCTCCCCCCCTGCCCTCACTTCTCTTTTAGATGAGTAAAACCATCACGAAAGGGGACCTTGAAGCATTTGCTGAAAATCTAAGCGCAACAGCAAGCCTTTTGGTGAGTTCAAATTCCTACTGCTGGCGAGTTGATCCTTAGGTGCCGTATAGGAAAGCCCAGAGGGTCTCTGAGGCTGTAACAGGAAGCTCTGATGGCCTAGTGGTAAGAAACTGCACTGTAATCACAAAGGCACATGGTTCAAATCTCTGAAGTGCTCCACTGAAGGAAGGACATTGTCTCCGTATGATTTACTGCCTCTGAAAACCCACTGAGGGGTCCGCTATGAGTTGGTTGTAACTCGACAGGATGTCACAGCAACAGCAACAACAACAACAACAACAATGATCTTTTCAGAAGCAGACCACCTCACCTTTCCCCCTTGGAGGGGCTGGTGAATTCCAGCTGTTGACCTGTTTGCTCTCCCATAGCACTACCAAAATCAGTGAGCTGAATGCTGATCCAGTGACTTCAGTGGCAGCAGCGTTCTTAGGAAAACTTCTGAAGAGGCTTTCTATTCATTATTTCTGTTACTTATGAGAACTGCCTCTCATTCGCAGCCCTGGCAGCATGACCACACTGCTGTGAAAGTATCTACTCTTCGCTCAGTGCGTAGGGTGGTGGTGGAGGTATGTAGCATTGAGACAGAACCGACTCATTGTGGGATTTCAGATGTGCTGCATTGCACAGGAGTTGATGGATTCATACCATCTGCCTTTGGGTTGACAGTGCAATTCCTTACCCCTAAGCCACCAGAGCTCCCTTTCGTAGATCGTAGCTGTGTTCAGTGCTGGGGTCCTCATTACCTTCACGATAGTCTGCACGCATCTCTAACTACCACTCCATGCCCTCCTCCCCACACGCAGGCACACACACATCGCTCACCTTGAAGTATCAAGGCCTGTTAACTGAGAGCCTGAAGGCAGGAGGGGTGGAATGTTTCATCTGTCATTTGACTCTACAGTATTATTATTATTGTTTGGTGCTGTAAAATTGAGTACTACTCATAGCGACCCTATGAATGAAGATCTGAACCTTGTTTGGTCCTGCATTTTCTTAAGATGTTTCTTAAGAGGCCTGTTACTATTTAAAATCCTACTACACTGCCATGGTAGTCAAGACAGCATGGTACTGGTACAATGACAGACACATAGATCAATGGAATAGAATTGAGAACCCGGAAATCAGCCCATCTACTTATGGTCAACTGATTTTTTACAAGGAGATGAAAACAGTTAGGTGGGGAAATGACAGCCTTTTTAATAAATGGTGTTGGCAAAATTGGAAATCTATCTGCAGAAGAATTAAACAAGATCCCCACCTCACTCCATATAAAAAAACCACCTCAAGGTGGATCATGGACCTAGGACTAAAACCAAGGACTGTAAGCTTCATTCAAGAAAAGCTTAGAAGAACTTTAGTAGGCCTAATCCACAGCATAAAGAGTCTTCCAAGTATTCTGAAAAATCTACACCCAGGAGAAGATAAAATAGATGAATGGGACCTTCTAAGAATCAAATCCCTATGCGCATCCAGAAACTTCTCTAACAGGGTAAAAAGGGAAGCCACAGACTGGGAAAAAGTGTTTGGTAATGACAGGTCAGATAAGGGACTGACATCTAGAATTTATAAAATACTTGAGCACCACAACAAGATAAAGGTGAATAATCCAATTGAAAAATGGGCACAGGATATGAACAGACACTTCACCAAGGAAGACATTCAGATGGCCAACAAGCACATGAAGAAATGTTCAAAATCCCTAGCTCTGAGAGAGAGATGCAAATCCAGACAACTATGAGATATCATCTCACCCCAGTAAGACTAGCAAAATTTAACAGAACAGCAAGCAAAAAATGCTGGCGAGGTTGTGGAGAGACTGGAACCCTTATTCACTGTTGGTGGGAGTGTAAAATGGTGCAACCACTGTGGAAAGCGATGTGGCGCTTTCTCAAAAAGTTGCAAATAGAGATACCATTTGACCCAGCAATTCCACTACTGGGAATATACCCTAAAGAGACCATAACTGGCACCCAAGTAGATATATGCATACCCATGCTTATTGTGGCTTTGTTTACAATAGCAAGGAGTTGGAAACAACCCAAATGCCCATCAACAAATGAATGGGTAGAGAAGCTGTGGTATATTCGCACAATGGAATATTATGCTGCATTGAAAAACAAGGAACTCATGCAATATTATTCAAAATGGGTGACCCTGGAGGACATTATGCTGAGTGAGGTATCTCAGTCACAGAGGGACAAATGCTATATGGTGCCACTGTTGTAGAATGAGGCTGACATCGGGATGAGGGTAAGACTGAGAAAAACTGGATGAAATATGTTTACGGCATTGAAGTCTTTGGGGGAGAGAATATTTTATATTTTAGGGCATTATGTTTATCATAAGATTACGGAATGAGGGTTGCAGAGTGGATTATATTTGGGGGTTGGGGGATGTGGGGGGGGGATTGCGTACCAATGAGGGAGTTTTTCTTTTGCGTTTGAAGGAGAGGAGCAAACGGGGGGGGGGGGGGGGGGAGAGGGGTCCAACAATGAATGAATGGAATTCCAAAAACTCTGTAGATGTTCACTGAAATGAAAAATAAAGAAATTTTTTTAAAAAGAGGCCTGTTACTTAAGAAGTGGATGCCAATCCTGCTTCCCAGTCTTTCTTAATCTGGGAGCTCTACCAAACCCTTTCCACCATGGGTAACCCTTACGGCATTTGACACAGCAGTGGCACAGTGTTCAGTATCACAGCAACCCCAAGTCAATTCACTATAGCAAACTGACAAGTGCCGTATCACTTAGAACAATGTTCTCCCCAAACACAACCCCAGGACCAAGGGCTGCAGACCTGAGGGCCCAACAGACTTTTAAATACAAAGGCCTGCCCACCAGGTCCTGATTCATTTAAACAAGAGACTTCCAGCCCAGCTGATTGTTAACCAAATCTAAACCCTGGTCAGTTTACACTTGATTGTTAACTAAGTAATAATAATAATAAAAATAACCAAATTAAATCCTGACTCCAAATCTTCATAGCTGAAGAACTGTGGAGAAATGCTTCAGCCCTCTGTGCCTCAGTTTCTGCAGCTGTAAAATGGTAACAAAATAGCTAACAGTACCATATCCCATATAGGATGGCTGTATATTATTGGTGGTAGTAGTAGTAATAGTAGTAGTAGTACTTATAAGCAGGACTTGGCATAACCAACATACTATTTCAAGATGAGCTAGAGAAATAACTTCTTAATGGAGCCTTGATTTTCCCATCCACAGAATGGGGAGCGTGAGCTATTGTACTCCGGATGGGGCTGGTAGATGGGACTGTTTGGCGAGGGGCTGGTTCTGCAGGAGCTCTTGGCACCAGCACCCAGGGCTACCACATACCAGAAGTGTCACATGCCATGACCTGATGTGATGGACCAGGGGCCTTGTAGTTAGTGAAGGAGAATACTGACACTGACCTTGATGTTCTTCTCTTCACAGTCTCAAGGATCTTTGAAGGACTCCCTGACTGTTCACGCCCAGAGTATCAGAGTAATCCTCCAACAGCAAGTGATTCCTCTGGAACGATCGATGGTGAGGAGAAACATGGCTGCTGTCCCCTCTTTCTGCACAAGAGCCATTCTGGAGAATTACCTTCCATACAACTCTGGGGCCTGTGTTTAGTTCTTGTGGCCACATCACCTGCACTTTGAGGGGTAGATGTTTCCAAGGACAAAACTTAAAACCACCAATTTCCTGCTTGTTCGCTTTCCTCTTTCCAAATGAATGTTGTGGGTTTCTCGCTGTAGCTTCAGTCACTGGTAGAAGGTCCGTCTGAGCAGTGTATTCATCTTGATGTCTCTCTTCTGAACTCATTCTCAAATTCATTTCTTCCGCATGCTGTCTAGACATTTGTGAGAGCCAGGGTAAGTACCCTTCTCTGAGTTTCCCTCGGTTCTGTGTGCTATTGTTTCGGAGTTTTGTTGTTGGGTTTTTTTTTTGTTGTTGTTTTTTAAAAAAACTCACCCTATTCTTTTTATTTAGAATCCATCAATAATGAGCAAAAACACTATTTGAGGACTGATTTTATGATTCAGTGTTTGAAAATCAATATAAAACGTCATCATTCACTTAGGCAAAAGTCTATCTATTTTTGCCATAATTGTCAAATAAACTCATAGTTGACCCTCCAGTAGGCTTTTTAAAAAATTAATTTTAATGAAAGTTTACAGAGACTTTGGGTTTCCAGTCATTCATTGTTGCACTTTTTTCTCTGCCCACCCCCTCCCCTCAATTCACTTTTCTCCTTGATGAGGAAAAGAAAAACTCTTTCATTGCTATGCAATCCCTCCCCACAAGCCCACTGCACTGTGCAGCATTCATTCTGGACTCCTGTCATGACAATAATACCTAATCATATATCCCTGTTAAACAGTTCTCTTCCTCATCTGTTGCAATGCAGTATACATCATTCCTCCTCTTCTTCCAGTAGGCTTTCAAACTACTGTGAGTCACATGGGAAGAATTTGTCCTTCTTTCTCTCACGGAGATGCTGCTGCTGAATTTGAACAACCAGAGAGGCTTTCCTTTTTGTTAGCAGTGCAAATCCTTTCAGAGCATGTCTTCAGAGTGATACAGTCATAAATCAACCAGTGGTCCTTCCTTGAGTAGATTACAGCTCTTGGTGACCATACATGCTGCAAAATACAAGAGTCCCACACAATATTCATGATGCTGACTTTCTAGAAGCAGAATGTCAGGTCTTTCTTCCAACGTGCCACTGGAAGGACTTGAACTGTTAACATTTCAGTTAATAGTCATTCTCTCGACCATTTGTCACTAAGACAAAATTGCTGTTACTCAAATGCATAACAGTTTTTTCCCCTTGGTTTTAAAGAAATTTTTACCAACAATATCTAGTTCTAAAATGAAAAGAAAACTGTTAGAGCTGTGTGCTGTTTTGAGGGCTGCATTAAAGTTCTGTAGCTAAGCGGAACCAGTCACACACACACACACACATACAGAGAGAGAGAGAGTGTGTGTGTTCAGGCAGCTCTGGTGGTCGTATATGTAAAAATTATCTCATGCCTTTTATAAATGTAAATTATTGTATAAATCACAATGCACATGAAAGAAATACAATGTCTATGAACTATATGTATGCAAACAAATTTTTTTGCAACCCAATTTTTTTAAAAAGGCACACCTGATTTTTTTTAAAGAAAAATTTCTCATGCAATGATAAGAGGCAGACAAGTCCAAAGTCTATAGGTCAAGCTGGAGATTCCTATAGGATTGTGTCCCAGATCACTATTGTGGTATGTGACAGAAAGAGTGAAAGGTAAGAAAGTTCTGGAAAGATGCTAAGCATACTATGGAGACAGGCTACCTTTTGGGAAAAATTCCATTTTGCTTTTAGAAGGACTTCGTCTGATAGTTGTGTATGGAACCACATTATGTATGGAAGTAGTCTGAACACTTGAGCGACTTCCTAAGAGCACGTCCATGTCCTCAAGTATCATGTCCACCTCCTCCCTGAGAACACTAGCCTCTAGTAACCAATCAAGTTGACACATGAACTTGCCATCACAAAGGTCATGGCCACGTCTCCTCTCTCCTCTTTTACTGCCTTTTTTTCTCTTCTACTTCTCACAGCCTTCTTGATTCTTTCCTTGATGAAACCATGCAGGCAGTTCGGAGCAGGGGAGCTGAGCTTTGAAGTCAGATAGGCTTGGTTTCAAATCCTGCTTCTTCTGCCTCCTCAAAGAACTTTAGCTTCTCCGCTCCTCCTCCAAAAATATCAAAACGATACCGAGCTTTTGTGGCCTGTCTGCAAAAGCATCAGACTCGGCAAAGAGGGGGGACTGTTACTGTCCTCACATGTAGTGTTTGCTGCTGTCAGGGGCACAGCTACAAAGAGTGGGTTACTAAGACAGTCTGCTCGGGCAGGGAGAAACATACAAATCTGGCACTGTGCAACATTCTGGAATTACTTTCACAAGTTCCCCCCCCCCTTATTTTCCCAACTCCCTAATTGATTAGAATTAGTTGTACACATTTTTTTGGTTTTGTCTTGACTTCCTAATTGATGGGTCATTGTTGTTATGGGCCATCAGTTTGAAACTTACTCATAGTTGACCCTCCAGCCATTTTTCAGAAGCTGTAAATCACATTGCCATCTGTCTCCTATGGAGCAGCTTGTGGATTCGAACCATTTATCTTTAGGTTGACAAGGCAACTCCTTACCCACTAGGCCACCAGAGCTCCTAAACTGATTAGAGTACTCATAAACCCCTGCTCTTGGATTTTCTTGGTTGTTAGGCTGTGCGTAGTGCCAGTGCCATACTGCATGTGTGTGTTCTAACACAAATCAGTACACATTTAAGGCTAGTTCACATTTCTAAATACTTTCCTTTAGGTGCACTGTGTGCTTGGGCCTTTTTAGGTACAGGAGCGTGTGTCCACAAAAAGACCAGCTGTTTTTTTCATGTGAACACTCACCTAAACTAGGGGTCCACATACTACGGACTTGCCAGCTGCAGCCTACAGGTCACATCCAGCCGCTGCCTGTTTTATTAGAACTTAGCCACGTCCATTATTTTAATATATCATGTCTGTGACTACTTTTGGCTACTGCACACAGTTGCATAATTGGACTACGTTATGGCCCAAAAAGTCTCAAATATTTACAATCTAATCCTTTACAGGTAAAGTTTGCCTTTTTCTGATCCACTGTATTTCCACTAAACAATGTGTCCATTTATATTTGTTTGCCAACTGAGCCATCCCTTTAGATGTTTTCATAAATACTCTATCCCCCCCCCTTTTTTTTACATTTCCCTTTTAAAACGTAGACCACTTACAAAGATACCTTGAGGCAGAAGGGCTCAATGGACAAATAAATGTTTAAAAAATTGTGCATTTATTTGCATTAAAAAACAGTAAACTATGCAAGAAAACCACTTTCTTTTAAACAGTACCTTCCACTTTTGTGAAATTTAAGTCAAAGGGGGTTTCTTGGACACCTTTTGTGGATGCTGTTGCTATTAGATGCCATTAAGTGGAGTACAGCTCATAACAACCCTCTGAACACCAGACCTGAACCCTGTCCTGTCCTGTGCCAGCCTCACTGTCTCTGACACACTACAGCCCATTGCTGTATCACCCTCAAAGCTTTAGGATAAATATCCTGGCATTCTTCTTCCAGTGAGATCCACTTTGTTACTTGTGTCCTTTGCTTCTTTCTACAATAGAATGAATAAGTGTAAAGTCAGCTTTGATCAGGATGTGGGGGAGTGCCAGACACAAAGCATGTGATCTTGCTGCTCCTTGTAATAACTTGAAAAATATTATCTATTTTTTTTTCCACAGAATATTTTATCCCAGAACATCCAGGTGCTTCAACAGACTACCAAAGGATTGCCGGTGAGGACTACTTTGGTTTTTCGTGGGGTTTTGGTAGGTGGTAGCATGCCCAGTGGCTCGGAGATATTGACTGTGGTTGAAAGGTACAGCGAAGGAGATGCAGTTATCTATCTAAGTCAGATATCAAGCTCAGTTGGGAGTGTTGGTTTTGTTTTGTGGTTTTCTTTTCCACACCCTCTTTTGTCATCATTTCTGTAATGGAAACATGGTGTTAGATACAAGTTATTGATTGTTGTATACTACAGAATACTTTCTGATCCATAGCTACCCCAGAGAATGGAGAACTGTCACGTAGAGTTGCCTAGGAAGTAATCTCCTGTTTCTATAAAGAGTTAAAATGCGGTGATGTCACTTTGAGGGCTTAGGTGTGCCTAACCCAGGTCATGGTAGTTTTAATTGTCTTATACACATATGAAAAGCTGGATGATGCGTGTTGATGTTATTAAGTCCCAGACGTCATCTGTGACGTGTAGTGACCCTGTGAACAATCAGGCTGAACCTTATTCTATCTTGCCCCATCCTGACACTCTCTGATATGCTCGTCCTTATTGCTGTAATCTGAGATCTCTGGTGGCATAGTGGTAAGAAGCTGTGCTGTGGTCCCACAGGCAGGTGGTTCACATCGACTATCTGCTTTGCAGGAGAAGGATGGGTAGTCTCCTCCCATGTGATTTACTGCCTCTGAAAACCCACTGGAGGGTCAGCTATGAGTTGGCTCCAACGTGATAGCACATAGCAACAATTGTAGCACTGTGTCAGTTGAAGAGCTTCCTCTCTTTCTCTGACCTTGTACCTTTTCCAACATGATACATTTTTCCAAGGACTAGTCCTTTCTGATAACATGCCGAAAGTAAAAGAGAGTCTCACCACCCTTGCCTCCAAGGAGCAACTGGGTTATATTTCTAAGATAGACTGGTTCTTTCCTTTGTAAGACCCTGAGATGGCTTTCTTCTCCAACACCACAGTTCCAAGGCATCAGTTATTCTTCTGTCATCTTTATTCATTGTCCAACTTTCAGATGTACAGGAAGCAATTAAAAATGCAATGACTTGAATGAGCCACTTTTTAGTCTTTAAATGGGCATTCTTGCTCTTTAGCATTTTGGAGTGTTCTAACTTCATTTCTTTCAAGATAGATGTGTTTATTCTTCTCACAGTTTGTGGTTTATTCACTGGTTTCGAGTAAACTCCCTGCCATCGAATCATTTCCAACTTCCGGTGACCTTGCCTTGGGTTTCCTCATTGTTTTCGTTGTGATGTGCTGTTGACTTGAGTCCACCTCATAGCAACTCTGTGAACCACAGATGTGAATCTGTCCCCTGAACTCAGGTGTGTCAGAGATGATGAGGATGGCACAGGAGAGAACACGGCTGGGCTCCTGTAGGTAGTCGGTAAATTTAAACAGCAGGAAACTACCTCATCTTTCTCCTTTGGAGCAGTTGGTGGATTTGAACTGCCAGGTGTTTTGTGTTGTTTGTTTTGTGTGTGCGTGTATGTGTGTACTTATTTTGTCATTTGGTTGTATTTTTTCTTTCTTTTTTTTTTTTTGGCTGGTTTGGGGTTTTTTTTTTATTTTTTTAGTGAATTTTAACGAAAGTTTACAGAGACTTTGGATTTCCATCCATTCATTGTTGCAATTTTCTCCTTGCCCAATCTCCCTCCTCCCAGTTTGCTCTTGTCTTCGAAAAGTATCCCCCCAACGTCCACTCCACTATGCAGCCTTTGCTCTGAACTCCTGTCGTGAAAATACCTAATCACATATCCCTATTAAACAGTTTTCTCCCTTATCTGTTTCAATGCAGTATACATTATTGAACCCATCTTTCTCAGTCTCTCCCCAACCCCGATGTCAGTCCTGTTTTACAACAGTGGCACCATGCAATATATGTCCTTTTGTGACTGAGATACTTCCTCCAGAGTCACGCATTTTGTATAATATTTCATGAGTTTTTTGGTTTTTAATGCAGCATAGTATTCCATTGTGCAAATATATCACAACTTCTCTATCCATTCTATCATTGATGGACACTTAGGTTGTTTCCAACTCCTTGCTATTATGAACAAAGCTGCGATAAACATGAGTGTGCATATATCTGATTGGATGTCAGTTATGGTCTCTTTGGGTTACATTCCCAGTAGTGGAATTGCTGGGTCAAATGATATTTCTATTTGCAACTTTTTGAGAAAGCACTACACCGCCTTCCATAGTGGCTGCACCATTTTACACTTCCACCAACAGTGAATAAGGGTTCCAGTTTCTCCACAACCTCGCCAGCATTTGTTGTTTGTGAACCCCTGGTGTTTGTTGGTTTTTGTTTTGTTCTTTTAAGCAGCCCAGCACCTACCACACTGCATCCTGTAAGCTCCTTCAGTTCGCAGCACTTGCATCTGTACACCACTTATCTACATTAACCCTTTCACTCTGCTACCTTTCCATGTGTTGCTGTTTTCCAGGTGAAGATGGACAAGATCATTTTCTCTTTGGATTCTACACAAGACTTCATCAAACATAATGTTTCTTCTATAATTTCAGAAGTGAGTCTTCTCTTTCATCTATACATATATATAAATAAATGTGTCAGGAAGTAGATTTGTGAAGCAAATGATAAGATTCAATAAGAAGGGGGAAGTGTAGTCCTCTTAATGATTTACCAACATTTGATTTGTTTGCAGGAAAGTGAGGCCTATGCACGTAGAATAATAGGATACTTCGACCATTACCTTGAGTGGATTAAAGACACTGTGAGTAGTCATCTTTTTTATGAAGCCCTGGGAGAGAACATTTTACAAGAATCATTTTCTAGGGTGAAAGCTGGAGGGAACAAAAAGGAATCTCAGCCATTTGCTGGAGTGTGAAAACATCGGTGTCACTGTCCCAGGATGGCTTCAGAACGCACTCTCCTTTCTCCTCCCTTTACTATATGGATTCTGCCACACTTGAGTGTCACCCTCTCCCAAAGAACCAGGAGTCTGTGAACACAGGGCCTTTTGAGGTGTAGTTGTGTTGTTGTTGTTGTTATTGTTGATTGTCTTTGAGTCGTGCATGACTCATAGAGACCCTATGAATAAAAGGCCTGTAGCTTTTCTATAACTATTGTTTTCTCCAGGTTCATAGAGTTTCCAGAGGCATGTGGTTTAGGAAGTGAATGCCTCCTTGAATCACCTAAAACCTATTATTTTGTTAGTCTCCTTAATTTTGTTGAAAGAGGCAGGAGCAGAGTGAAATTTCTAGGGATTTTTATAGTAGCATGGTAGCAGTGAGTGTAATTTTGTGCTGTCAAGTCGGTTCTGACTCATAGTGGCCCTCAAGGACGCTGAGGACCCTATCGGCTTGCCAAGGCTGTGGTCTTTGCAGGAGCCAATCACTGCACCTTGTCTCCTACGGAGCTGCTTGTGGGCTCCAGTTCCCAACCTTTCTGTTAGTAACAGGGTGATTGACCCCTAAGCCCTCAAGCTATTTACTAGCTTGGGTGTGAGACTGGATCTCCTGAGGACAATTCCACAGCGGTGGGGGACTTGGAGCTGATGACTTGGTAGACACCACTGCACCAAATGGATCACGGGAAGTATGGAGACTGGGGATAATTCAAACAAGCCTTGAGCGGCCCCTAACTTCTCCCGTTGTATTCCTGGTCTCTGACCATGTGTCCTCCAATGTTGTAGTCTTACTTTGATTTTTCCCCCTGACCCACTTTGTATTCCAGCCACAGTCTAGAACTTTCACCTTTATCCCTGTATCTTCCTTGATGTATCTTCTCCTCTCCTCATCTCCTACATCCGCTTCCATTTCACACCAAACATGCAGGGTGCCCAGTTACACTTGCACGAGGACCCAGCTTCCTGAGCTCTGTGGTGAAGAACCCTAACTGGGATCTTAGGACCTTCTCCTGGCGAGTAGACACAGTGGACACACGAATGAGATGTGGCAGAGGAACCATCAGCGTGGTCACTGGGTGCCCGTTCTGTTTCATCTGAAGACCATACCTGGTCATTGTCATACCTAGAACACAAAGCTGACAGTCTCAAACCACCGATTCTGGGCTAGGACCTTCCAACACAGAAAAGAAGTTCCAGGAGGACAGGAGGTGGCCCGGGGACCAGATGACTCAGAGCTATTGCAGAAGACATGGAGGGCTTTGTAATAGGGTCTGAATGAGACAGAAAAGCAAGATGCAGAAACATATGAGAATGTATTCACCTCTCCAACTATTAGTAAAACCAACAGTGAGAATAAACTTTAAACTTGATTAAATAGAATGTCATTCATATGGACAGCATTGTAAGGTTGAGATAAAGGTTGAAGAGGAAGACAGAGACAACCAGAAAAGAGGGAAGAATATATTCTTTCCTCCAAAAAAAAGGAAGCATCTGTCATATTGCACTTACAAGAATAATTTCAGATTCATGATTACAACTTCCTTAAGTCACTCATGAGATTCACAATATGACCATGATTCACCAAACATTCTCATCTCATCAATGAGCAGATTGTCCTCTATCCCTTAAATCAGGGCTAGCTGCATTGAAACAGATGGAGAGAACTGTTTATAAGGGATATATGATTGGGCATTATTGTCATGACAGGAGTCCAGAATGAAGGCTGCATAGTGGAATGGACTTGGGGGGAGGGATTGTATAATAATGAAAGAGTTTTTCTTTTACTTTTCAAAGAGAATAGTGTATGGGGAGAGAGGTGGAGGAGGTGGGCAGGGAGAAAAGTGCAACAATGAATGATTGAAAACCCTAAGTCTCTGTAAACTTTAATTAAAAACAATAAAAAACCAACAATTTAGGGTTAGAAGACTAACACTTACTGAACTATGCCACCAGAACTTCTTAAAATTAAAGGTAATCTCACTTAATGTGATAACAATTCAGGTTGTCCCTGAAATATTTTGATGGTGAAAATGAATGAATGTTTCCCCACTCAAAGGAGGCTGGAATTAGGTTAAGTTTTTAAGAGATGACTATGAGACAGTTGGTGAAAAAAAAAAAAAGAAAAGGGGGAAAAACCCAAAACACCTACTCCCTTCCCCCCAGAAAATTAAAAAAAACAAAACAGGGCTAGCAGGAGTGAATGTGTTTGGAACTCAAACAGAGCCGCTCCAAACTCATTGTCATTGGCTTGGAGGCAGTGCGTGCATAACTGCTCCTGCACTGGGCTTCCGAGGCTGTAAATCACATGGGTGGAGGCTGCCCATCTTTCTCTCTCAGAGGCACTAGTGGCTTCCCGCCAGCAGAGAGGCACAGCATTTGGGTAGCAGTGCAGCTCTCTGTGGACTTGGCCTTCAGAGCTCCCGTGCAGAGCCATGCTCTCTTGTATTGTGCACAGTGGGTGGTGTGTTGGGCAACTATCCGAAAAATCAATGGTTCTAACCCAGTGGGAAGTCTGCAGGGGAAAGAGGTGGCCGTTGGCCCTTGTGGAGATTACAGCTGTGGCGAGCTGATTGGCAGCTGTGGCAAGCTGATCAGCGAGGCTCCACTTTGCCTTCCAGTGTCCTCGTCAGCCGGAATTGGCCCGAGGGTGGGTATGGTTTGCTGTGATTGCCTTTATACTACCCTGACCGGCCGAGTCATTTCAACCACTGTGTCTTAGTCCAAAATATATACCCGCTGAAGCTTTACAAAAAGGGTGTGTCAACTGTGGTTCTCACTGTACCATGATTAAGTCCCCATTTGTTTTGCATCTCTCCCATCAGATGACAAAGATGAGAATTCTGGACAGCACTGGGCTGGGCAGGCTTGCTTTTCATCCCTGTGAATCCTGCAGGTTGAGATTTAACACGTTGCTGCACAGTTTTAAATTGACGACCACGCTTAGAAACACATTTTGCCATCATTTGTGACAACATGTTAACAACTCCACCTAGTAAACAAAGAATCTGAGACTGAGAGAAGAGTCTTACTCGAAAACACCTAGCTTTGTTTACAAGCAGCCCTGGCGGTGTAGTTTGTAATGTATCTGGCTACCAGCTGAAAGGGTATACTGCATTGAACCAGATGAACGAGAGAACTTTTTAAAAAGCGATCTATTATTAGATATTATTGTCATGGCAAGAGTCCAGAATGAAGGCTGCAGAGTGGAGTAGACTTGAGGGGAGGGATTATATACCAATGAAAGAATTTTTCTTTTACTTTTCAAAGAGAAGAGTGAACTTGGGGGAGGGGTGGGCAGGAAGAAAAATGCAGCAGGGAGTGAGTGGGAATCCAGTGTCTCTGCAAACATTCATTAAAATTAATAATAAAAAAACACCTTTTTTAAAAAAAAAAAGAAGAGTGGTCATTCAAATCCACTACACAATCCACGGGGGAAGGATAGACAGTCTCCTATGATGAAGATTTACAGCCTACTAAACACGATGGGGATTGGCACTGGATAGAGAAGGGTTTAGGGATGTTGTACATAGGATCACTATGAGTTACAGGCAGCTCGACAGCACATAACAACAGCAAACACGATGGAGAGTCAGGATGAGTCAGAACCAGCTTGAGAGCAGTGGGTTTGGGTTTGGGTTTAGGTTGGGCTTGGTAGATCTCATTTCTCATCATCTGCACATGCCCCATGGCCTAGGAGATGCAGAAATCCTGAGGGAAGCCAGAACTAAATGGCGTGTCCAGCTGAAGTGTTTGTGTTTCCTGCTTCCACAGATCACTAAGAAGATGGCAGCCTGCAGGCCCGTGGCCACCGCTTTAGATTCCGCCATCGACGTCTTTCTATGTAGCTACATTGTGGATCCCTTGGTAAGAGTCCTGTCCTTCAAGATAAGGAGACTGTGAAGAAATAGGAAAGATGGAGTGAGGACTCAAAGAGACAGGGTGATAATAGGCATATATCAGTGGTAATTATTTATATAAAACCGGGTACATGAATCATAGTATGAAACTTAGAAACAATGTACACGAATGATTGTATCAAACACAATGTATGTGAATGAAATACAACGGTAGAGGAATGATTGTATCAAACACAGTGGACAAGAGTGGAATACAATGTACATGAATAATTGTATCAAACACAATGTACCTGAACAAAATACAGTGCACATTAATAATTTATAAAACGCATGCATGAAAGACAATGCATATGAATGATTGTATAAGATACACACACAAATTAAGAGACACAGCCAATCATTAGCTTTGATTTCAGGCCTCCAAGTTTTGTTCTGTGCTGTTCATTTTCTGCTTGGGTCTGTTGTCATTCTAGATGGATGTGGTGTTGTTATGTGCAGTGAAATCCATTCACACTCAAAGGGACCCTCCAGGACAGAGAAGAATTATCCATCAGGTTTTCTTGGTTGTAATCTTCATTGAAGCAGGTTGACAGGTCTTTTCTCTGCCAGGAAAGGGGGCAGGGGGATTTGAACCACTGACCTTTCTGGCTCTCCATTGTGCCACCTCATAGACTCAAAGCCAAACTCCTGCTTGCCTGTCTTTGTTCTGTGCTGGAATTATATTTCTAGAAATCAGAAAACCCTTGTGAAAAAAGCTCCTGTTTTATATGGAATATTTTTAAAAGGATCAGTAGTTGGTACACAAATTACAGAATTCAATAGAACTGTGAGTCCAGCTATCGGTGGAACACCAGAACTACACCAAGTGGCATTTTCTCCTTAAATGCCTTTTGAGATTGGCCACTTCGGCTGCCTCTAGTTGAGACCCTCAGAGTGGGAATTAGCCTCCTCCAGTCCAGACTTTAAGGAACTCTGGTGACATGGTGAGTTGCGTGTTACGTGGATAACCAAAAGGTCAAGGGTTCACATCCAGTAGTGTCTTTGTGGGAGAAAGATGGACGGTCTCCTTCCATAAAGCTTTGCGGCCTCAGAACCCTGACAGAGCGTTGGAATCTACCCAGTGATGGTGGGGGTGTCCAATCCAGTCACAATACCCAGCTGCAATGACTGCTTCCCTTATAACCAGGGGTATAGAGAGACCCCGAGGCTGCGGAGGGCCAGGATCAGGCTGGAGTTTCCTCAGAAGGTGTTTCACCAGTATAGAGAAGTGCTCTGGTGTTTGCTTGGTTCTTTTGAGACCCCTTTGGGTGGGCCTGTCATGTTGTTGCCCTTCTGGTTAACCTCAGGTCTTTGTGCATGTCATTAGAATAGTTTTTTTCTTCTCTGGCCATCGCCTGAGTCAAGCCTACTCTTGAGCTGGACTCTTAAGTTCAGGTGGGACATATCCATAGTCATACTTTTGCTAGAAAGCCTTCTAAATAAAGTGAAACACATTCAGACCTACTAATTAAAGAGGGGAGAGGGCAGAGTGCCCGGACCTTCTGGGTGGAGAGGTGTCAGGATTCAGGCCATCCAGAGTTGAAGCACAGAGCAGTGCGGAGCCCGTGAGCCTTGGCAGGGCTCTGTTCGCCCACACTGCCTTTGCCTTGTGGAGGCCTGGAGGGCTGTCCTCATGCTACGTAGAGCCTGGTCCCCAGGCAGGGCCGCCAGCTGGGAAGTTCTGTGGAACTCCTGTGAGGTGTTGGGTTAGGAAGCTGGGCGAGGGTAGGATGCTTGAGCAGAATGCAGAGTGCAACTGGGTGGTACCCACAGGACCTTTCTGATTGTGGGCTTTGATTGTGTTGCCTCCACATCTCTTCTGATTGGCTGATCAGGTTATATCCTTTTGAATAATAATAGTGGGGAAAATCACTTGCATCTCAATGTCAAAACAAGGATTCTTACCACTGGACTGATAGGCAGCATCATGATGGATGGAGACAAGATTGAAACTGTCAACAGCTTCATCTTGCTTGGATCCACTATTAACACCATTGGTAACAGCAGTGAGGAAATAAGGAGACATTGTTGCACTGGGGAAATCTGCAATTAGAAACCTCTCCAAATTATTGAAGAGTAATGATATCACTTTGAGGACTAAGGTACATCTGATTCAGGCCATAGTCTTTCCAATCACTTGCTGTGCATCTGAGAGCTGGACAATGAAAAAGGATGACAGAAAAATAACTGATGCCTTTGAGATATGGTGTTGGAGAAGGGCACTGAGCATCCCATGGACGGCCAAGAGAACAACAGATATGTCTTGAAGAGGGTGCTTTGGAGGCAAGAATGATGCAGCTTCACCTCACATCCTTTGGGCATGTTGCTAGAAGGTGCCCCTTGGAGAGGGGCATGATGTTGGGAAAGGTGGATGGTTGGTGAAAGAGAGGAAGACCCTCAACCAGGAGGATTGACGCGGTGACTGCTGCAACGGGCTCTTGTGTGTCAGGAAGTGTGAGGATGGCGCAGGGTAGAGCAGGGTTCAGGCCTTTTGTTTATAGGGTTGCTATGAGTTGTACTCCACTTGATGTCACCGAACAACACCAACAATAACAAATTCTGCTAACTTGGTTCCTAGCTCAAAGCACCAACCCAGCGGATTGTGAGGCTGTAAATCTTGAGGGGGGAGAATGCCTGTCTTTCTCCTGCAGAGCAGAAGGCAGATCCAAACCCTCAACCTTTTGGTTTTCAACCTGACACATTGTCTGCCAGGCCCGCTGGGTCTCCTGCTGACGTCACCCCTCAGCCTGCGCTGACAGAGGCGGACACCCCTATGAAAGGAGAAGACTGCTCTCAGCTGCAGGTGTGTTCCCTGTGGGCTGGAGGACTCAGAGGGTTCAAGAAATTGTTCTCAAGAGGCCATGCTAGGCTCCCGCAGGACATCTGACTTAGGTGTGTCAGCGACTTTTGTAGAAACTTCACTTTGCTTTGTAGACAAAACGTGGCTCCATTGTCTCTGCAGTCTGTCCTAAAATGCTGGTTAAACTGCTGAAGTAAAGGAAACACTGAGCGGTGCTGTGGGCTGAACAAGAGCTCTGACTCCATCGTATGAGGAGACGGTCACTTCCTGTGCGGAGCCTCGGAAACCCAGCAGAAGGTCTCTGGGAGTCAGGGTCCACTCGACAGCATTGGGTTAGTGTGTACCAAAGAAGCCCTGGTGGCCGTGGGATAAGGCGTTGCACTGGCAACTCAAACGGACACGGTTCAAATCCCCCAGCTGTTCCTCAGGGGGAAGGTGTGCAGTCTCTCCTCCTCGGCAGTTTACCACTTCTGAAAACCCACTGGAGGGTCAGCTATGGGTCACACACGACAACAGAAGCATCTCCAGGGAGTGCTGGTGTGTAGGCCCTAGTGAGTCGTTCTGTGAAACCAAAGGACAAGTTTTTCCGGCACTTCACACCTACCAGGGGCTCCGGAAGAAAGATGCTCAGTCTCCTTCCATTACAAACCATAGGCTCAGAAATCTGATGGAGGGGCGCTGTGAGTTGGAAGCAACTCGCGGGTAGTGAGTGGAGGGTCAAGTGGCAATATTTTCTGGTTACGCAGCAGTTAAGTGCCTGAGTGCTACCTGCAAAAGTCAGCAGTTTGAACCCCCCAGCTGCTGCTCAGAGGCACAGAGATGTGGAAGTCAGCTTCACTGTAGGACGTTCTGAAACTGAACTGTTGGGTAACACAGGTGGGAACTGACTTAACTACAGAGGGTTTAGGTCCAGCATGTGCCCAGGACTGCTGAGAGAAGCCTTGGCAGTGCAGTGGTGGTGTTCAGCTGTTAACTGAAAGGTTAGCGGTTCAAATCTACCCATCCTCTTAAGGGAAAAAATATGTAGCAGTCTGCTTCCATGAAGATTACAGCTTTGGACACTGAACAGGACAGTTCTGCTCTATCCTGTCGGGTCACCAGGAGTCAGAAACAACTCACTGGCAGTAGAAATCAGTTCGCTCTGTACAATCAACACCCTTGGTACCAGCAATCAGGAGACGTATTTTATTGGGCAAAAATCCTCTGTCAGGGACGTCTCCAAATTACCCAGGAGCAATGATGTCAGCTTGAAGATTAAGGTGTAACTGATTTAGGTTGCTATGCATGTAAAAGCTGAATAGTAACTAAGGATGACCCAAGAATTGATGCCTTTGAGTTGTGTGTTGGATGAGAGTCCTGAGTATCCCATGGACGGCCAAAGGAACAAACAAATATGTCTCGGACAAAGTGCAACCAGAGTATTCCTTGGTGTAAAGATACTAAAGCTTTGTCTCAAATATTTTGGGCATGTTGTTAGGGGACGCTGTTCCTTGGAGGGGGACACCAAGCTAGAAAGGTGGAGGAGACGCGGAAGAGAGGAAGCCTTTTCATGAGACGAATTGACACAGTGACGGCTGCAGTGGGCTTGAGTGTGTCAGAGATTCTGAGGCTGGCACAGGATAGAACAGGGTTCAGATCTGTTGTTCATAGGGTCGCTGTGAATTATACTGATCTTGACAGCATGAAGCTATCATCTCTACTTCTGAGTGAGTGTGGGAACAGAGCCAGAAAGGTTAAGTAATAAGATCTTGTGTGGTTATTGTTTTCTTTCTTTTTTTTTTTTTTTTTTTAGATTTTATTGAAAGTTTATAAAGAACTTGGATTTCCATTCGTTCATTGTTGCACATTTTTTTCCCTGTCCCCCCTCGCCCCCAGTTTGCTTTTTTTCTTTGGAAAAAAAAAATCTTTCATTGTTATACAGTCCCAGCCCTCCAATTCACTTTACTATCCATCTCTTATTCGGGACTCTTGTCATGCCAATAATACCTAATCATATGTTCCTTTTATATAATTCTCTCCCTCATCTGTTTCAATGCCATGTTCATCATTTATCTCTCTTTTCTTATTTCCCCCCCCAACCTTCATATCAGTCCTGTTCCATAACAGTTGTGTTATACAGCATTTGTCTTTTAGTGACTGAAATATTTCCCTCAGCATAATGTCCTCCATGGTCACCCATTTTGTATAATATTTCATGAGTTCCTTGTTTTTCAATGCAGCATAGTATTCCATTGTGTGAATATACCACAGCTTCTCTATCCATTCATTTGTTGATGGGCACTTAGGTTGTTTCCAACTCTTTGCTATTGTGAACAAAGCAGCAATAAACAAGAGTGTGCATATATCTGCTTGGATGTCAGTTGTCGTCTCTTTGGGGAATATTCCCAGTAGTGCAGTTGCTGGGTCAAATGGTATTTCTATTTCCAAATTTTTAAGTAAACACCATTCTGCCTTCCATGGTGGTAGTACCATTTTACATTCCAACCAACAGTGAATAAAGGTTCCAGTCTCTCCACACCTTACCAGCATTTGTTGTTTTCTTTATAATTTTCTTTGTTTTCATACACTAATCCATTTACATTGTGTTTTGTTCACGTACATTGTGTTTTGTACAATCTTTCCTTTACATTCAGTCTTAAGATCTCAGTCAGCTCATTCAGGGGATGCAACTCCAGCCTGTGGCCTCTCCTTGGTCCGTTGGTGACACAAACAGAGCCCATACGTGGGAAGGAGTTGACTTTCTTGTTCCAGGTTCCACATGTGTAAAATAAGCATAATCGCAAGGACTGGTTAATGGGTAAGGTGCTAACCACGTGGTTGGCAGGTTAAGGCCCTCTTAGCTGCACCTCAACAGAAGGTCCATCGAGACGACCTCCATGAGGAAGCCAGCCAGAGACCACCCTGCGGAGCAGCCTCTTCTCTGGCACATGCACTGTCACTGCGAAGGAGAATTGACTCCACAGGAGTCCCTGGACTCCAATATTTCAGAAAGGCGAAATGAGTTATAATAGCAGTTACTAGTTCATAGGAAGTTCACAAGTGGCTTTAAAGAATAAAGTGTCAAGGAAGCTCTGGTGGCCTAGTGGCAAGAAGCTGCACTGCCATCCCAGAGGTGTTTGGTTTGAATCCACCAGATGCTCTGCTGGAGAAGGAGGGACAATCTCCTCCTGTACCAGTCAGATCCGATTTGACAGTATGCACACAAAAATAATAAAATAAAATTTTTTTTCAGCAGCAATTAGCTAAGAGAATACGCTATCCCCTTTTCCTTATGAATTAGGATGAAGTCTCTCTCAGGGAGGAGTGATAGGGAATGGCAAAGGACACACTGACAAAGGAGATTAAT